GATGGTTTGGACCAACCCTCTGAGAATAATTTTAAAGACTAGAAAAAAATAAATATTTAATGTAAGATATAAAAACCTTATTTGGAAGGCTTTGGAAAATTGAGACAATGAGGAAATTGCAGGGCCAAGAGCTGCAAAAGGGGGGAAGCCAGAGATGTGAGCTCACCATTTTAGCCAAATAAATCTAGCACTATGGTAGAAATGAAAAGTTGATTTGACATTAGAAAATAAATTAATGTAAATCACTACATTAATATCTTAAAGGAAAAATATAACAAGAGAATTTCAATTAATGTTGGAAAGTGTTTTATATAGTTTAACATATTTTAATGAAAAAGAAACTTAGCAAATTTGTTGTAGAAGAGAACTTCCTTAATCTAAATAATAGGAATTTGGTAGCTTCAATGACAAAAAACTACAGAATACTTAATGATGAAATGGGGAATATATTCTTGAAGATTGGAAGGAACAAGACAAGAGTGGCTGCTATATTAACATTTCTATTCAACATTGTACTGAAAGTCGTAGCCAGTGCCACGAGGGAAAAAAGATAATAAAAAGACAAAAACAATTGTTTGTAAATGATATTATTGACAAAGAAAAACTAAAATACCTACAGATAAAGTATTAAAATAGCAATATTGATAGATATTTTAATAATCAGTTGCATTTTTGTACACAACAAAGCACAATTTTAAAAAGAACATTGTAAAAAGCATAAAAAAATGTCAAGTACCCAGGAGTAAATGTAACAAAAGACAGGCATAGCTCATATGGAGAATATCCATGGTAAAGGTAGATATACCATGTTCATAGATTGGAAGACAACCTACTGTAAACGTCAATTCTGTGCAAACTTTTTGATAGAGGTATAATCCAATGAAAACCATCTGGATTTGTGTGTAAGCATGTGTACATAACTTAAGTTGATTCTAAATGTATAAGGATATTCAAAGTCCAAGAATTACTAAGATATTCTTGCTAAGAAAATCTTGAATATGTTGAAAAAAAATGGAATAATACAATACTGTGTGATATAACTTTTACTGAATTAATTTTTAAAGTCCGTGCATCCCAATAAAAATACCAATACGATGTCTGAGTAGGACCTGACATGCTATATCTAAAATTCACTTGGAAGAGAAAGCATAATATTAGCCCCTTGAAAAATGTTTATAAAGCAATGAGGGTATCTTATCTTGCCATATATCAAAAATACTTTTAGAAATTAAAATAGTGTGGCGATGTTGCATAGAATACAACATAGAGTATAAAAACAAAACTTAGATATGTTAATGATGGCATTTCAAACCAATGAGAAAATGTAGGCTTTGATATGGGGACAAAGTATATACACATTTGTTTTGTTAATTCTCACCTCAGGATATTTTTCCATTGATTTTTAGAGTGAAAGGGAGGGGGAGAGACAGAAAGAGAGAAACATCTATGTGAGAGAGACACATAGATTGGTTGCCTCCCACACAAGCCTGGACCAGGGTGGGAGTACATGCCTGCAACCGAGCGAAAGTACGTGCCCTTGACCAGAATTGAACCCAGGACCCTTCAGTCTGCGGGCCAACGCTCTATCCACTGAGCCAAGGATGATATATATTTTTTAAAGGTTACAACTCATGCCATGTACAAAAATATATTATAATTGGATTAAAACAAAATCATGTTTTATAGATCTCTTATTTACAATGTTTAAGGTTAAGACTCTCAGAATCGTTGATTCATTTACTTTTTTTTTTTTTTAAGAAGTCATTTATTTATTTTGTTGTTAATCCTCACCTTAGGATACTTTTTCCATTGATTTTTACCGAGAATGGAAGAGAGCGGGAAAGACAGAGAGAAACATCGATGTCAGAGAAACACATCAATTGGTTGCCTCCTGCATGAGCCCCAACCAGGGCCCCGGGTGGGGAGGAGCCTGCAACCTAGGCATGTGCCCCTGACCAGAATTGAACCCTCCAGTCCACAGGCCAACGCTCCATCCACCGAGCCAAACCGGCCAGGACTGATTCATTTACTTTTATGCTAGGAGGAAAGTCCATTCCATGACTCTTCTGACTAACAAAAAGAAATGGCTGTTTATATGTCATCTAATAGATGTTAATTTGTGTGTTTTTTTAAATATAATTTATTGATTTTTTACAGAGAGGAAAGGAGAGAGATAGAGAGTCAGAAACATCGATGAGAGAGAAACATCGATCAGCTGCCTCCTGCACATCTCCCACTGGGGATGTGCCCGCAACCCAGGTACATGCCCTTGACCAGAATCGAACCTGGGACCTTTCAGTCCGCAGGCCGACGCTCTATCCACTGAGCCAAACCGGTTTCGGCTAATAGATGTTAATTTGAATACTTACTCATGATGATCAATTAGCACAAAAATCCATCAGATATAGTAAATATTTGAAGTCCACCTATCTCAAAAAATGGTGTTTATGCAGATTACTAAATATGGGAAAAGTTTGAATTTTTCCCTCTCCAACTTTATCTAAAAAGCTTTTTCTGAATACAAAAGTTTGACTGTTTGATATTCTATCTTATGCACTTTCAGCTTAAGTGTACCAAATTCCTCTTGTTATTGGAACTATAAATTGGGAAGACCTGTAGTTTCAAAGACTTGGGATTTCATTTGCTAGATCTGAATCTGAAAGAGCAGTGCCCACAAAAAACTAGACTTAACCAAAATCAATAAAAGACAATGGATTTTCAGAAATCAAAATGGGGCTTGTAAAAGGTTTATGAAAATATAACTTTGTAATAGGGAAGCGTTTTGAAAATATAGACAGTATTAAAAAAAATAAGGAAAAGACTATATCTAACCGATAGGATATATTTTTTTTCAGTGCATTTTAATACTGATAAATACATAATTTTGTATAAGATTTTTCCTCTAAGTTGCCTCATCTATACATGTTTTTCTGCAACCAGCTTTTCTCATTTAAAAATATGTTTTGGAGTTCTTTCATATCATATCCATATAAAACTATCCCTTTCTTTTAAAAATCAGTCATCCTTCTTTCATATACATTTAGGTTTCTTTCAATTTCTCCTTGCAATGAAGCATATATACTTTGTGTTTATGAATGATTATGTCTCTAGATTAAATACTCAGAAAAAAATTGCTGAGTCAAAAGATATGCACATTTAAAACTTTGATAGATACTGTTACTCCCCAAACATAAACTACTAGTTTGTATTCCATTACAATGTATGAAGGACCATTTCCTACTAGTGTCAATAGTGGATATCATCAATATTTTAAATATTTCCTACTAACATGGGCAAAAAGAAGTTATTCACTTATAGTGTGCATAATTACAAATAAGTAAGTATTAATAACCAGAGAATACTAGAAAACTAAACAAAAGAAACGTGTCATTTGCTTTCAGGTCAGTGCTGACGGTTGCTTGTGAACAGACTGAAGTTCTGCTTTTTGACCCTATATCATCAAAGCACATAAAAACACTTTCTGAAGCCCATGAAGACTGTGTAAATAATATCAGGTTAGTATTATAGTGAAAAAGTGAACTTTACTATTGTGACCCAAAATACTCTGTTTTGGAAGTTTGTGAAAATGTGTAATGCTTTTGTACAGCAGTGGTAGAGATACATATTTGTGAATTGTGAATCTTATCCCTTGTGAAACTGATCCCTTTAATTACAAAACTTATTAACTATTTTGGATTAGAATCTTTCTGAAATGCATTTTTTACTTCCACATGATTTTCTTTTTCTCTTCGTATATTAGGATCATCATTATGAACCTCAGCCAGTATTATAATAGTCTTGTAATGCCTTTAGGCTATGGCAGTACTGTTACTTAGGCTGTCTCACCACCAGCCCCCAAATTCAAAGTATTGAGGAGAAAAAGCACATATGCACAGAGAACTTCTTTATAGCATCGTTGGAAGCTTCTTAAATTCTCAGTAATGTGGGAAATAGATAACAGTTTGGTGGATTAATATGCAGTCATTAAAATGATGATCCCAAAGACTACATATCAACATAGATAAGTGCTTGGGATAATATAGATTAAAATCATGATGTAAACTGTACAAATGTGACATGATGCAGAAGAAAAAAGATTAGAAGGAAATACTTTAAAATGCTAGCAGTGGATGAGTTAGAATGTATGGATTATGAGTAATTTTATAAACTTTATGTAGAGATTATATTATTTTTTAAATTATTACTTTTAATTTAAAAAAAAGAACTGTTGAAATTACTTATAGTCAAGATGACCTACTGAGTTTTAATGTAACACTGATGTTCCAAACACATAGAACAAAAGATTAAGTAGCACAAAAGATATACCCAGGCTGTAAAACAATAAACATCTTTGTGGGCCAGAAATGGAACACAGACACAAAATTGCTACAAGTGTTTAAACCATAAGCCCACTGGGTTTGTCTGGCATTGACATGCAGTCAGTTGGCTCCTGTCAGGAATCAAAAGTGCTTAAAAGTGCTTCATGTGAGGCAGAAACCAGAACTACTACATGAAGCCAGGGGTTTTATTGTAATGTATATCCCATTTGTGAAAGGCTGAAAAAAGGAAAAAGCTATTAACTACTGGGGCTATAGTTTTAGTTGATAAAGACACAGACTCATGACCAGAAATTGATGAAGCCATTACTGAGTCAGTGGTTGAATAGATGTGATAGCTCCAATATCATCATGAAACTACAGGCCTTAATATCATTATAAGGTCTAGTTGTTGATTAGGGGTCTAGAAATCCAAGTGGGGCCAACTATAAAACCATTAAATAGGTAGAGAGAAAAAACAAAAAAACAACCTTTTACTACTCAAAATGTGCCTACAACCCAAATTGCAAAACTCATGAAGACATCTAATATTAATACCATACCAAAATCAGCGACTAACACAGGCATTTTCTCTGGATGAAATTAATTTATGGAGTAGTCCAACAAAGACTTTATTTTTAAAAATAAATTATTTTATTTATTTTTATTTTTTTGACTAGGTTATACATGCACGTGGTACAAAATTCAAAGGTACAAAAGGGTAAACAGTGAAAAGTAAGTCTATCTCCCACCTCTGTCCCCTAGCCACCCAGTTCCCCTTCCCAGAGGCAACCACTATTACCAATTTATTGCTATCTTTTCTGAGATAGTTTGTCCATATACAAGCATATACACACACACATACACTTTTATATAAATGGTAGCATTCTATACATACTATTATGTACCTTGGCTTTTTCACTTCAAAACATATTTAGAAGTCATTCCATATTAGTATCCATGGGATGATATTATTTTTAACGGCTGCATAGTATTCCGTTGATTAGAAGAAACTTTAAAGCATTTTTAGGATGCTCAAAGAAATAAGTTAAGGGGTACTTTCTATTTTAAGGGAGCTCAAAAATTATGAAACAGAATAAATGAAACAAGAACAGGTTAATGTGGAAATGAACCAATTAGAATTCTTTGTAGTTGGTATGTAAAACTCAGTAGATGGGATAAATATACCCTTTATACCATTGGTGATAGAATTAATGGGTTGGAAAATAGTACTAAAAATTTCATACAGAACACAGAAAAAAGATACAAATATGAACGAATAGTTAAAAGATATAGAGGATTAATTGAAAGACTCCCATAAATGTATAAGAATTACAAAAAAAGAAGATGCGGGGATTGGTGGAGAACTAATTTTTGAAGACAGAGGGGCACAGAGCAAAGGATTCTTAGCATTCAAGAGGGATCTGAGTCCTTTCATCAAGAGTAAAATCTAGAATGTCAAGTAGGTTAAAGAAAAAAAAAACCACATCTGGATAGGTTGTAGTGAAACTAGAATATCAAAGATAAAGAGAGCATCGTAAAAGTCACCAAAGTTAGAAGCCAGATAATCTACAGAGGTATGATAAACTAACAGAAAGTTTCTCATCAGCAACAATTGATGCTAGAAGGAAATGGAATATCTTAAAAAATACTAAAGCAATACCATGTTATATCCAGGTAAGCTGTTATTTTAGAGTGAAGAATTTTAATTAGATGAAACGATAAATGTTATTAATTATTAATAGCAGAAAGATAATTAGGGGTTTTTTAGGGGGTGCATTTAAAACAAAATTAAAGTTCTAGAGTAGCACTATCCAATAAAATTGTAATTCTGGTCACATAAGTAATTTTCTAGTTGCATTAAAAAAGGAATATTTAAAATTAAATTTTAATAATACATTTTAAATAACCCAGTATGTCTAAACTATTATTTCAGCATGTAATCAGTATAAAATATACTGTATATTTAGGGTACATCTATTTCAGACTGGCTACATACATATCAAGGACTCAAAAGCCACATGTGGCTAATGGCTACCAAATCGAATAATGTAGTTGTAGAGAGTAACAAAAAACAGGTTGTACGTATAGGAGGGGTTTTGTTCAGTGGGAAGATATACTATGATAAGGTCTCTGTCATGTTCAGGAGGAGACAGAAAAATAAAGTCAATTCAGAACAACGTATCATTAAATACATATGATGAAAAACTAAAAGTAACTAAAGTAATAGAAGTACAGTTTACAGTTTCCAAACCAGCAGGAGAGGGGAAAAGGGAATATTGAAGACAGGAAAGCTTAAAAAAGTGATGATAATAATAATAATAATAAATAATGATAAAGCAAAGGAAATATAAATAGAAAAAAGAAGTAGAAATAGTTCCAAATATATGTATAGTTCACAGTAGGTATAAATGGATTGATCTTTATTAAAAGGTACAGAGACCTACCAATTTGAATGAAAAACAAAATCATTTATATATTCTCTATAGAGATACCAAAAATAAGACTGCCCAGAAATGGAAAAAGAAAACTGATGTAGGTTATTATTGGACAGATGGAATACCAAAGTCTTTAATAAAAAATGCAACAGTACATATTAAGAAAAGGAAAAATCCATCAGGAAGATAGATATAATCATGAACTTGTATGCAACTTGAAGTATAAAAACCAAAGATGGAATGATAAGGAATTCTAAATCTATTAGAGGCCCAGTGCACAGATTCATGCACCAGTGGGGTCCCTTAGCCTGGCCTGCAGGGATGGGGCCGAAACCGGCTCTCCGACATCTCCCGAGGGGTTCCGGATTGTGAGAAGGTGGTTCTCGGGTGACGCACCCTGGAATTGGGTTCCCTCCTCTCTGGTTCCAGATGCATCACCCAAGAACCACAGCTGCCAAGCTGTATTGGGCATCTGCCTCCTGGTGGTCAGTGCGCGTCATAGCTACTGGCCAGTCAGCTGGTTGCTTTAGGCTTTTATATAGTATATATAGATAGTCATAATGAGATATTTTACTACTAGGATCCCTTGGCCTGGCCTGCGCCCTCTCACAATCTGGTACCCCCGGGAGATGTCAGAGGCCTGCTGCACGTATTCATCTGTGCACCGGCCCTCTAGCATGCATATAAGATCTTTGGTTTATCTCTCCCCGCCTGCCCCCATCCCTCTGAGATTCATCAATCTGTTCCATGTTTCCATGCCTGTGCATTGAGCATCTGGCCCCTGGTGGTCAGTGTGTGTCATAGCTACTGGTCAAATGGTTACTTTTATATATATAGCTAGTTGCATCCAAAACTAGTAAATTAAGCAGATAAAAATGAGGCTATAAAAGATAAACTAGAAATGCTGGTAAAATTTTAACTATAGTCTGGCTGGCATGTCTCAGTGGTTGAGTGTCAACCTGTGAACCAGGAGGTCACGGTTCGATTCCAAGTCAGGGTCATGCAGGTTGCAGGCTCAATCCCCAGTGTGGGTGAGGGCGTGCAGTAGGCAGCTGAGCAATGATTCTCTCTCATCATTGATGCTTCTATCTCTCCTCCTTTCCTCTCTGAAATCAATTATAAATATATTTTTAAAAATTTAAATATAGCCCTAACCGGTTTGGCTCAGTGGCTAGAGCATGGGCCTGCAGACTCAAGGGTCCCAGGTTCGATTCTGGTCAAGGGCATATACCTTGGTTGCAGGCACATCCCCAGTGGGGAGTGTGCAAGAGGCAGCTGATCGATGTTTCTCTCTCATCGATGTTTCTAACTCTCTATCCCTCTCCCTTCCTCTCTGTAAAAAAATCAATAAAATGTATTTTTTTAAAAATTTAATATATATATATTCAATCCTCTTTAATTCTCACTTGAGGATTAACCAGGAGGTCACGGTTCGATTCCAAGTCAGGGTCATGCAGGTTGCAGGCTCAATCCCCAGTGTGGGTGAGGGCGTGCAGTAGGCAGCTGAGCAATGATTCTCTCTCATCATTGATGCTTCTATCTCTCCTCCTTTCCTCTCTGAAATCAATTATAAATATATTTTTAAAAATTTAAATATAGCCCTAACCGGTTTGGCTCAGTGGCTAGAGCATGGGCCTGCAGACTCAAGGGTCCCAGGTTCGATTCTGGATTTTTTTTAATTGATTTTTTAGAGAGAGGAAGGGGAAGAGAAAGAGAAAGAGAATGAGAAACATCAATGTGAGAGAGAAGCATGGATCCGTTGTCTCCCACACTCACCCGACTAAGAATGGAATCCACAACCAAAGGATTTGTATGCATGCATATAGGCATGACCAATTGTCACGGGGTACTGGGGGGGTAGGGGAGGCCAGAGGAATGTCAAGGGGGGTGGGAAGGAAACATATGTAATACTCTTTGTAATACTTTAAGCAATAAAAAAAAAAAAGAATCGAACCCACAACTTAATATGTGCCCTGTTCAGGAATCGTACTTGGAGGGATAGAGAGTTAGAAACATCAGTGAGAGAGAAGCATCGATCAGCCGCCTCTGCACACCCCCTGCTGGGGATGTGCCCGCAACCAAGGTACATGCCCTTGACTAGAATTGAAAGTGGGACCCTTGAGTCCGCAGGCCAACACTCTATCCACTGAGCCAAACCAGCTAGGGCTAAATATATACATTTTTAATGTACACTTGAGCTGATAAGAAAGAAAGGAATCCTAGGGCCAAAAATAAGTTGAAGCAGGAATACGAGGAAGTAAATAGGTATTCAAGCTGTCTTTTACCATGGAGGCTTTAGCAAAATGCTGGTGACCTTGAGCTTCTGTTTTAACATTTATGAGGAGTACAGAGGACAAGAAAATAATTCTGTCAGTTGAAGCTGAGGAGTCTAGTAGAAAACTCTGTAGAAGGGTGGGACTTGAAAGGGTTATACTTTTAGCAAAAATAGTGATCTAGAAATAAATCACATTGTTCATATAAACCAGTGATGGCGAACCTATGACACGCGTGTCAGAGGTGACACGCAACTCATTTTTTGGGTTGATTTTTCTTTGTTAAATGGCATTTAAATATATAAAATAAATATCAAAAATATAAGTCTTTGTTTTACTATGGTTGCAAATATCAAAAAATTTCTATATGTGACACGGCACTAGAGTTTAGCTGACACACCAAGCTCAAAAGGTTCACCATCACTGATCTAAACTGTGGCGTTGGGTAGAGGGGTGTCAGAAAATCTGGATTTCTAACCACAAGCCAGCCTTCATGCATGTGTGGGGCCTAAATTCACACTACCATGTGGTCCAAAAATAAATGCAAATATTCTCTGGAGGAGAGAACTCAATATCATAAAGAAGTCATTTCTTCCCAAATTAATCTATAAATTTAGTGCAGTTTTAATAAAAATATCAAGTTTTTATAACTTTATTTTAAAATTCATATTGAACAGCAAAGGCCAAGAATATCTGAGACTGTTTTGAAGAAGACTTAAGATGGTAGGAGTACTCACCTCTCCAGATATCAAACATAGTCTTAGGACAGGGATAGACTAAGTGACTCATGGAACGAAATAGTGTTTCCAGATATTTAACATATGACAGCAGGGGCATTATAAATCACTGTGGGGGTGGGAGGATGGAAAACAGAGAACTGGTTATATATATGAAAAAATAAAATAAAATTAGATTTTTATCTCATACCATAACTAAAAGTTACTGCCAGTTAGATTAAAGACCTAATTATAGAAGAAAACCTTTAAAGCGTTAGAAGAAATATAGAATATATTTATACTCTAAG